CAACTCCCCAAAATTTACCTCTACATCTTTCAATCAGACAAGTGAGTCACTAGGCCAGACCACACTCAAGGGAAGGATAATTATGCTATACCTCTCAGTGGAAAGAGTTGCAAAGAATCTGTGTCCAGCTTCAATCTAATATATATCAATTCTGTTGATACTCTGTTCATATCAGCCTTCACTGTTAACAAAGAAGTCCCACATTGCATTGTTATAATTAGGTTTATCTTTCAACTAACACTCTAAAGTAGAGTGTCAAATCCCCTTTGCTGTCAAAGATCCAGCAAGTCTGTGTCAGAGTTACTGCCTGGGGGTCAGCAGGAATGGTTTCACAAAGAAACCATTCCTGGATCATTTATCTTAGAGATGGTAATTGGCACAACCTTGAGAGGCCTGGGAGAACTTTGAGGAGATAAGTGTTAGGACTAGAGTAAGTCCGTGCTGAAGCAGTGGTCCCCAGGCACTTGGGTATACGCAGATTGCTGATGAAGAGGTTTTCCCAGGACCACAGGGCACAGCTATCTCATTGGTCCTGGCTCCCTTGGAGGAATGGGAGGGAGTTGTCAGGTGAAAGAAGACATAAGAGTGTGGGACCAGGAAGCTACACTGTCACTGCTTCAGTGTGGCCATGTGAACTTGCTCAGCCCTAGGAGCTATACAGAGAGGCACCCAGAGACCAGACCATACCCTACATCTGTACATGGAGTCATGGCTGTCACACTTCCAAACTCTTAACTCATCCTGCTCCATCCTCCTGGTATCACCTTGCCTTTCTCCTCCGCAGAGATCTCCTCAGTTTCCAAGGAAATTCAGCCTGTGTTCTTCCTGTTCCCTATGCTGTAGCTTGTTCCCACCTTCGACATCTCTACTTCATGGATCTGTTTAACTGACTGCTCAGATACATATTTCCTTTGCACCCCTGTACTTTACCTGGACTGGCACAAAGGATGTGCTATGAATGAGGGTATAGACTCGCCACGGGGGACTTTGGACCTTGAACAGCCAGGGCAACCCTTGGGTGGCTTGGTGGATCTGCCCTGGATGGTGAGATTTGGGCTACAACCACTTCTGACACTCAGAAGAGAGCTCTTTCCATGCTGACGGCTCTTTGCCATATCCCAAGAGTAAGGGGTGAATGTGTAAGTGCCAAATGGGTCACTTAGGTACGGATGGGACAGTTTTCTGCTGTTTCTGATGGACTTGAGGGATGCAGTAGTCCACTGCCCATGCAATACAGGTTTCATCCATTTGACACTCCCTATTCTTATTAAATGCCCCAGGAAATGTCCTCTCCCACCTGCACCATTCTCTCTGGGGTCCTTCCCCGACCTCTGCCAGCAGGAACCTTGGAACCACTGAGAATCGGTCTTGACCTCAGCTTCCCTCTACCCTTTACTACCAGTGGCCTGGACCAAGGTCTCACTTTCAGAATGCCGGTTTGGATTTTTTCATAAGTAACATGGGGAAGATAATTTCCACCTTGAGGAATGTTGTGAGAATAAAGAAGATATGTGTAGGGGGCCTACTGCAGTGTACAGCATGTGTTGGGATCTCCCTGAGAGGCAGCTGGAGTGACCTGCCCAGGGATCTTTCAAACCCAAATGTCTTGTGGTTACCTGTACCATCTCATACCTCTGCTTCCATGGCCTAAAAAAAGACAAAAGACCATCATGTGACAGTAGGACATGCCCTTCACTTCTCTGCTGAAAATTTTGAGCTCCCAGGGGGCTCTTCTCTTGTCTGAGCCCCCAGACAGAGCAACCCTGCCCTCTCCCAAGCGTCCTCCCTGCAGATTCCCTGGGCACACCATTAAAAGCCACAACCAGAAATTTGCTTTAAGTCAGAGCAGCATAGAAAATGGAGTCTACCAGTGTGCTGGGAGAGGGTCAGAAACATCTAGAGCAGGGTCCTATACCTTGGCCACCATGTTATATCTGCCAGCAGTCTTAGCCAAATATCACCAAAGCCTCTTATCCTTCTGCCTGAGGTCAGGAAGCTTTCTGAAATGCCAATCTGAGCATATCACTCAGCTGCTCCAAAACACCCAAAGTGTCCCATGCCCAATGTGTGGAAACTGGTACTTAAAGACCCACGGTCTGGCCTCAGTCCACATATACTGTCCACTGCCCCACTTCTTGTGCCCCTGCTCCACAAGAAATAATTTTCTGTTATGCTTGCAAGGAGAGGTCTTCCTGCAGTGCCCTGCCCCTTCATTTATACATGTCCATTTCCTGCTGCCTTCCCAGTCCATTTAGGTTTAAAGTCTTCAGGAATGGCCCTTACCTTTCTGGCTCTCAGAGCACTTCGGTGAGCCTCTCTTGCAGTCTGAGTCATGGTACTTTTTTCAGTTTGTACATATCATGTCTTTCTTTCTGGACCAGGCATGCCCCAGAGGGAAGCCCGATGCCTGACTCTAGCCCACCATTGGGCTTGACCCCACATCATTCCAAAAGTAAACACAGAAGATGAGATAGAATATACCATCTAAGAAGAGCTGCCAGGAGACACCCAGAAGTGCAGCCAACTCGCTCAAGAGCAGAATCAGGGTCATGGGTGGACGCCACAGGCAGACAGACAGATGTAGGGGATAGATGGAAGGACTTTATGTTGGTCCATCTTGTCTCAACCTTACATACTGACCCTTTGTTTCAGTCAGCAGGTATCAAAATAACTCTCCACAGGCCAAATGGGTGCCAGTTAGGGAACCAGGCTGTTTCCAAAACTGTCCGCTGCCACCTGCTGGACATTTGCCACAAGCCCATGTAAATCTGTAAAGACTCTGATGTGAATGAAGCCTGGGCCAAAAATCAACAAGCTATTTCACTGAGCAACTGTGATGTATTTAGCATAATTAGCTTACTTAATCCTCATAACCATTATGTTCAAGAAAGATAATGAGGAAACTGAGTCTCAGAAAGATTGAGTGACTCAGCTATTAACTAACAAAGGAGAAGTTAAAATGTAGGCTCTAACCTAGGCATTCGTGGTTGGTTGGCTATTTGTTTTGTTTACACTCTCTGTACCTCAGCTTCCTCTTCTGTAAATTGAGGATAACATAGCACTTTCTCAGAGGAATGTTGTGATAATTAAAGAAGTTAATAAATGTTAAGTGATGAGAACAGGACAGGATACATAGTGAAAAATAAATAAATGAACATTTGCCTACAACACACACACATATACTACACACATACACCACACATAGCTCATATACCATCATACACATATACCACATACAACACACCCAATACATGGTACATGCCACATACAACATGCTAACCAGCACATACTACCACCACACACATGTGTGCCACATGTAACACATACCAACACATGCATACCACACAAAAAACACAATGCAGACATTACACACTATACACATACACTGGTAGACAGTAAAAACCAGAAAACTGCCCACCACCTGTGGCCAGAAATCTCAAATTTGGTCTGTAGATCCTTTACATTCTGGCTTGTGTGTGTCCTTGTGAGAACACAGCCTTGTTTTCCTCCCTGTGAAATGGGAGTATGGAATTCTCTGCATCACAGGGCTACTATGAGGAGCCAGGATACATGTGACCATTATGTGTAAACCATTAAGTGCCCTGCAGATTGTACTGGCACTGCAGAAGGGTGTGTGGCTGACAAGCATTCCCTGCTCCTCACTGGGGAAGAGTCAGAGAGCAGCCAGGACCTGCTAAGGTCAGAGACACAGTGTCCTCCACCGCTCTCAAGCACAGGGGAGCCTCCGTCACTAGGAATACATGGGTTCTGTGCTTCCTTTCCTAGATTAAAGCACTCTGTCTCCTTCTCCCTGTAGCACTTCCACAATCCCCCAGATGTAAAGGTGGAGATGTTGGTGGTGCAAGTGAGAGGTTCTACACTTCATTTCAGGAGGCAGCACTTCTGCAGTAGGTAAAGATCTCAGACCACCCAGGGTTAGAAGCTAACACAGCTTCTCTGCCAGAGAAGAAAAAAAGCATCAGGCCTGGGAATGCCCATGAGCAACAGAAGAGAATGACCACTCACAAACAAATCTGACAACCCAGCCCACCATCTTTGAATTTGGGGGGTAGAATAGGACAAGGTGGCAAATAGTAGGGTATGTTATCTGAGCCCAGAGAGAAAATGTAGATGCATGGAGTATGATCACATATGTCTATAAAGAGGTCTGATTTGTGGGCCAACAGGATCCTGGAGGAAAGTCTGTGAATATCTGAGTGCTGTCTGGGAAATGTTTCTGTCAGTGAGTACATGGGGTCAGAGCCATAGCTGGTTGACTGAACCTGTTAGAGCAAGAGAGTCCTGTGAGCAAATGACAGGGAACCAGCAAGTCTGCAAAGGTGTGTCCAAGACAAAATTCCCCTTGGAAAAATGGAAGATTAAGGGATTGAGCACAAGCATTTGAACACCAACTGCCAAGAAAGGACAAGAGGGAGATGAGGCTGAGCACTTCCCATGCCATAGCAAAACCCCAGGGGCTTAATCAGCACTGGGTCCAAAGCAATGAGCCAGGAGTAGGTGCCAAACCAGCAAGTGAAAAAAAAAGGTCATGAAAACAGCAAGAACAGGCAGGTCTCACCCATGTCCAAGCACTGCAGCCTAGACACACAGCACACGTGGACATGGGCCTGCAGGACAGTGAGGGCCCTTGAAACTAGGACACACAGAAGATAGCTATAGGGCAGAGCATGTGGTGTCTTGTCATCACAGGCTGTCTCTGGGGGTGCTAAGGGATGGTGGTATGACCAGTGTAGGCAGAGAAGGATGGCATTTGTGCTCTGGACTAAAAGACCTGTGGGGTTCTGCCTCAAACCTCTCTGGTTTCCAGAAACCAATTCAGAAGGTTCCCTGCTCTCTTGTATCTTCCCAGCCACCAATCTCTGTGCCCCCTGGGAAACAGTCCCCAAGGAAAAGTCTCACTCTATGGCCAAAGAGCCTTCCTCAGGGCAGTGCTGTGGCTGGAGCAACTGGGCCATTTTTCCCTCTCCTCTTCCCTTTAGTGTTGATCGGCGTGGGCACTGAGACCTTCCTCCAGGGGCACTTCAAAAGCTTGGCTTTCTACCTGCTGTGAGTATGTGGACACATGCCCTTCTTTGCCTTCATATTCTGCCCCAGCTCACTCTGAGTCTATCTTCTCAGATTAACCCAGAGCACCCTACCCTTTCCCATGATAAGTCCATCCTATCCCAGAGATGGAAGGACTAGAGGGGCCCTTAAGCTATCCTCTGCTTTGAAAATGGCTTTAGTCAAACCATCCCATAAATCAACCAACTGTCCTTCCATCACCCACCTATCCATCCATCCATCTATACACTCATTTATCTCTTCAATAATTTCTTAGCTAGAAAACATTAACTGAGTTCTTCTTTTAGAGAGAGGAGAATCTGAAAGGACTATAAACGTCAGCCCATCTTCATGCCAAGCACAATTAAAAGTTTTATTTACATCATGTCATTTAATGACGGCACTGTAGAAGTGAATGGTGTCCCAGTTTTGCAAATAAGAAGATTCAGTGGGAGTAAGCTGCTCAGCCCACATCACCAAGCTCACGAGCATCAGGACACAAACTCATGGGGCCCCAGTTCTTTTAGTTCCCCAAACTGTCCTTTCATCTCTGCCAGCTGTCTCTGCAAACACCCCCTGGCAAGAAGGAGACCACGGTACAGTGATGTCCTAGGGTGGGAGGAAAGCGTAGCATCCCTGCAGGCTCTGACTACCCAGCTTCTCAGCAGCCCAATTCTGAAAGACACAGGGAGCCCAGTGTGCCTGTGGGGTCAGCAAGATGCGTCCTCTCCTCCCATTCCCCTCCCCCTTCACATCTACCTTCATCACAGTGGTCTCGTCTGCATGCTCAGGAGCCCACCCACCCTGCTCAGACAAGCTCTTTGGTGTGCAGAATGGATCATATCCACCATCTTCCAACCATGTTCCAACCTCCCAGTGCATTTCCACAATGTCATAACATCAGCCACCTAGAAACACAGGGCCCTCTGACAGTTCTTAATGGCTTCCATAGCCTCCAAGCCACTCTTCTTTGTACTCTTCTAACCTCCACCTTATTTCTTCTCACTCGGTTTATACCCAGGAAGTTCTAATTCTTTCCCAAACACATCCACATCACCTTCCCTTAAGCCTTTGCTCATCCTGTCAGACACCTGCGGTGCCTTTTCACCCACTTCAGTATTCCCAAAGCATTCCTTCCTGGCATTCTGCCCTGGGACCCCTGCCTGTGCCCGGGACCCCCACTATCTGGAAGTGACTTCTTGCTCTAAAGGTCCTCCATGTCTTACTGAGCCTGTCCCAGCCACTATGCACTGTCTCCCTAGAATACAGAGGCAGGCCCTGGACTTCCTCCTCTCCCTATGGTTTCCTCATTCACCCAAAAACATTACTAGGGTAAGACCTACGGGTTATATTCTTACTGTACTGGGTCAGGTTGTGGCCAGTTAATGCTGCCTGCTTTCTGCCCAGCACCCTGCCTCTTCCTGATTGCTCTGCCTATCTTAAGGGGACACTGTGCCCATCTGGTCATTTCATGGTCCAGTCCTAGAAGAAGTTATTTCTGACTATTCCTTCCTCTCCAACCCTGAGGGATTAATACCCATGGTCTACCTTGCCCATCCTTCCTGCACTCATGTCCATTCATTCCTCAAGGGCCATCCAGATGTCCAAATGTCCTACTTCACTATCTTCACTCCTTCCTCCCATTCTCTCCCACAACATACACTCTCCCCTATGTAGATCTTGGACTCTTGGCACTGTGTTCCCTCACACTTAGAACTTTCATCCATTGTAACAAATACCCTTTATGAATGTCACTGCCTTCTCTGTGTCCCCAGGACCAAGCACGGACCATGGTCAAAAGTAGACACCAGAAGGAACTAACCTGTCATTGGCTTTTCCATTGTTCTCCAATTCTCCTTTACACTTGCTTCCTCTCCCTTCTTCCTCTTTCCTACAAGGCCTCTCACTGCCTTCCTCATACTTAGCCAATGTCTGAAGCTATTACCACTTAAAATCTGAAGAGTAAGAGTTAGGAAGACACTGGAAGGCATAGAGAGAGTGGGAGAAAGTAGAGGTAAAGTACTAAATAGTCACAGTAAGAGAGAGAAAGCAATGATAGTAACTAATACATACAGGAGTGAACAAAAGTAGGTTTGCAGCTGTGAGTATGCAAAACACAGAGTTCATTCTTGTATTGTTATTTATTAACATGTATTTTTTCATATGAACAACTACAAACCTACTTTTGCCTACACTGGTGTCTGTATATAATGAGAACTATGTGCCAAGCACATCTGAAGGACTTTAAAAATATCAACATATCTAGTCCTTATAACAATTTCATTGTTAAAACACAGTAATTACTCTCAGAAAACTGAGGCACAGAGAGGTCAAGCCCCTTGCCTATGGTCACACAGCCAATCAGGGACAATGCCCAGGACCCTGAGGAAACCCTTTTCCTGCAAGGCAACATCTCCTCTCACTCATTCATTTACTTCCATGCAAGTCCACAGAACACTTAAAAATAAGTCTTTCCAAGAGTAGGCCCAGGCCACATGGAAGAATTAGAGACTACCAGACAGACAAGGAGAGAAGAGAGAAGTTCTTCCAAGAGAAGCATGCCTGTGCAAAGGTCCTGTGGCACCTGGTGTAGTCAAAGGAATATGGAAGCTCATGTAGGCTTTTAAAAGGCATGCTAAGGAATTTAAATTCTGTAGGTCAGTGAGATTATCCAGTAAAAAAAAAAATAGAAAGTCTGGGACTGGCCCAGAAATCTATCATTTTATATATTCCCCAGGGGGTTCTTATCAGAAGGTCTGTGGACCACAAATGGAGTATGAGAATGCTTTGAAGAATTCTAAATTGGGAAGAATATGATCAGATTCGGGTGTCAGAACAAGCCCTTGGGGAGCCTCTGGTGATGAAGTGGAGGAGCAAGGTGCAGAAGGTGAGGGCCAGGGAGTAGTGAGGCCAAAAGGAGGAAGGTACATGTGTCCCAGGGGCAATATCTAAACTCAGGTGATACAGATGAGGCCAGAGAGAACTAATTCTAAGGCTATTTAAGAAATACAGTCAGCCTGTCCTAGTGGCTTTCTGGATGAGGAGAAAAGAGGGAGAAGAAAACGGATTAAGCTTTAAGACTCTTAAGTCATGACTGTCCTAGTGACTGTAGGTAGAAGAACATCTGCCAGTGTCCACACAGGGGTTTTGTGATCAAGGTGGTCTCTCATGCCAGCCTGAAGCATCTTCCTCACCAATGTCTGAGCCCAAGACCCCAACTCCTTCACCACCACAGCCCAACCCAGCACAGGTCCTGGCATCAAGATGGCTCCTGGTGGAAGCTGGTTGGGTGGTGGGGTTAAGTCAAGAAACTCCTGGTCCATTGGTTAGCTGTAGCTACCCAAGAGGCCAAGGTGCTGTGAGGAGATAACCCACAGGAAAGTGAAGGGAGAATCAAAGGATGCCCAGCCTCCTTCACCTGTCTCCATCATAGGTTTACAGGAGTCACCGTCTCCGTGTGTGAAGGGGCCTATTTTGTGGCTCAGATGTTGACCATCTGCTTTCAGTAAGTAGCCTCCACTGCCAAGGGATCCTTGCCTTTTCTCCGGGGCCAGGGAGGGAAAAGCCCTAGGCTTAAAGGGGCATTTTTTCAGCTCTGGAACCCTCTTCATCCACCTAGGGTCTGGTCACAAAGGAATTGACCACCAGGGGTAACGAAAGAGGCATGGCAAGCAGTGGGGTATAGAAGGAGGGCCAGCCCCCATCACTCCCCAAAGCCAGCCTGGACAGGATGAAGCTGTGCCCTCCTCTAGGCCAATTTGGAGAATGACAAAGGCAGGCGCTTTCTTCCTTTGAAACCTGGAGATAGCAACCCTGAAGAAACCTGCTTGGTACCAGGCCTCTGACAGGCCTGTGTATGGACTCTGCATGCCAGTTAAGAAGCCCCTCCAGGACAATGCCATTTCACGCCTAGGCAAGTCTCTGGGAGCAGGGTGCAGCTGGATTCCAGCCTGCTCACCCACATAGCCAAGCCCTTTGTGCAGTGCACGATCTGCGTAATTGTTTCAGCCAGGTGTCTCCTATACTGCCTACCTTCTCCACTGTACTGTGGACTTCCCAGGGGACCCTTGAGTCCCCTACTCTCCTTTTACTGCCTTTGTAGCCCCTCTGGAGGGGCACAGGCAAGAACCCTAATTATGTAACTACTGAGAACTCCTGCCCTAAGGGTGTCAGGCAGATGCCACTATAGAGAACATGGCCACAGCAGAACACCACCCCAGCCCCCTGTAGCCTCATGGAATGCTGAGGTTTTCCTGAGTCATTTTCTTCTCACCACTAACCCTAAACTTTTTCCTCCCAGGTGTCAGCCAGGGTCCCCGGCCTACATAGCAAGGGAGAAGGCCCAGTGGCTGGGCTGCTTCCAGAAGTTCTTGGCCTATATGCTGCTGTCTGTGGCCTGCTTTCTCCACCCTGTGCTGGTCTGGCATGTGACCATCCCAGGTAGGAGTTACAGAAGGTAGTGGAAGCAGGCAGTCCCCATCACAGGTAGGCAATAAGCAGAAAGGGTTGAATCCTTCTCACCTCAGTCAGCAGTTGCATTGGCTCCAGGACCCCCACTCACCCCCCTGCCTGGCTGAGGTCATGAGGACAAGGACCTATCAGACTTCTCCATCCTGATTAAGTATCAAGAATGTCCTTTAATCTTCCATGTAGGTGTCCAGAAGCTGCAACTCTAAAAGGGACCTGGCCTTTCTCTCAAAGCCTGTGTAGAGATTGAGCTTTAGGAGGGTGAGATGGCCATTGCTCTGCCCAAAACCACCCATGTCTCCTCAGTGCCTGATTCAGATCCAAACTCTTCAGCCTGATTGGAAAAGCACAACATGAAAGAACCCCCAAAGACCCTCACAGCTGCAACATCTTCCCCTACTTTACCTCACAAATCCTGCTGGTCAGCCTGGTTCCTGATCTCAGAAGCCAGGACTCATACTTCCACCTTCTGGGTTTTGTCCTGACCTTCTCTGCTAACAGCCTCCTCTGCCTTCTTTATAGCTGTGAAACTGTGCCCCTTCTCATGACCCATCTAAAATGCCAGGAACCAAACTGCCCAGGGAAACAAGATTGAAAGCAAGAGTCTCCTTTTCCTTCCTGCAGTTTCTCATAAAGTACCTGTCATGGCTTCTGAAGGCCACTCTGCCAGGCTCTTCAGTGGGCTCCTGAGCAGGATTCACTGCAGAGACTAGAGCAAGCCACTATCTCCTGCTCCTTGGAAAAGGAGAAAGGCCCAAGAGGCTCTGGCCCTGGCAGGCAGGACAGCCACCTTCCCCTCTTCTTCTGGACAGGGCAGAATTCCCAGCAAAGAACCCAGAGCTGCAAGTCTCAGCCTGGAACAAAGGGGTCTGGAGGTTGCGTGAAGGGCCAGGAAGGGGGACAATGCTACACCAGCCCCACACAAAAGTATCTGTACTTTTCTCTGTAGTTATTGGGGAGGCTAAAAAGTGAAGGCAATCTCCCACTTCTGGAATGGGAAGGAAGTCCAGTTCAGCAGGTGGGGCCTGGTGTCCAACATAGAATCCAGACACATTGAAGGTGTTACAGGTCCAGCTCTAATAAGCTGTACTAAGAGGGAGGCTAAGTGTGACTATGGAAGCCTGTTCAGGCAGCACCAGGGTCAGCTGTTAGTAGAAAGGGATCCTCAGGCACAGGGTACCTTATCTAACAGTCAGGAGGAGGGTTCTAGCATGGCACTAGCCCTGCTGACATGCCCCAGCCAGGCACCAGGCCTGTCCCTTGAATCTGATGTGGGTGTGTAATGTGGGTGTGTTAGGTGAGATGGCTGGAGCACAGGCAGCCTGAGTGTGGCTGTACAGGTGTGCTGTCATGGCCTTTAGGAATGGTGGGCTTGAATAGCCTCTGGCTTTTCTCTACGACACATCTTGCATCCTGACCTCCCAGATCTCTTCCAGGCTCCATGCTCATCATCACTGGCTTGACCTACTTCCTTCTTAGCAAGCGGAAGAAGAACAAAGCTTCCCCTGAGGTGCCAGTCTCCCAGGAGCAGTACACAGACCCCTCCAGCAGTGCCATGAGCACCATCATCTCTGGGGACACTGAGCAAACCTACACCTTCCATGGAGTCCTCAAGGAGGGGTCCAGCTCCTTCTTCACACATATGAAGTACATCCTAAAGGGGACCAGGAAACCCAGCACCCTCCAGTGCCCAGATGCTCTGACAGAGCTGACTTTGGAGCCAGCTGACTCACTAGCCAAGAAGAAGCAGGTGCACTTTGAAGATCATGTGGTCAGGATCATCCCAGGCCTCATCGAAGACCCAGACAATGAGGACAGTGAGCCAGAGGAAACCACCTCTGACACCACCCCCATCATCCCTTCATCCCAGGCTCCACTCTTCCTGCCTTCCCTCACAGACATCATTCTCTTCTGAGCTGCTTACTCAAGCCTTGGAGATGTTTGGCAAGGGTTGACATAGATTAATGACTCTGCCTGGAGTTTTCTGATATCTGTGGACCCTCCAGGGAGCCCAGGGTCTTTGTAGGTCAGCTCTTCAAGGTGTGACCAAACATACTCCAATGAACCTCTGGGGCCATTGAGCAGCATGATAGGTCCTGAAGCAGCCTTAAGGGAGGTACAAATGAAGCCCACACTGCTTCAAACTAGAACAAGTTCTTTCTCCTGCACATAGAGTGAGGAAATCTTTGTGCTTTCCCCAAAAAGATCATCACTCCCACTTCACACAAGGCTGCCTCAGCCCCAGGAGAAGCCACCAGACTTCTGCTGCTCCTGACACAGGTCTCAACACTCAGCAAGGACCTATGTCCATCCCATTTCTGAGACAACATCCCAACTCTGAAGGCCCAAGGATGCACTGGCAATTATGCATGTCAACAGACAAGTATTGAAGGTGGCCGTGGGTCCCAACCTCCAAATGAGATTGCTCAGATAGGGATAAAAGGCCAGACTGCAGGCCCTTAGGACAGGGGAGTAGTGCCCAGCAGTGAGCTTCATGCTGTTTGTGCTCTGGGGCTGGGGCTGGGGCTGGGCCTGGGCAGCAAGGGTCACAGAGCCACTGAGGGAAAAAGTGCCACTTTTCTCACTGCAGGGAGAGCCAGGCCAGATGAGTGATGCTCGTTCTGAAAACACCACTGAGGCCTGCCTGCACCCCACCTCATGAACTTTTCCAAGATTCCAAGTAGATGATGTACACTAAAAGCTCCTGAAAGCCAATGACAGCTTTCAGTCATGAATGCCACAGCACAAGATGCAGTGCCTGCTATACTCAAGGACCTCAGAGGTGGTGCCCTGAAGATTCACCCAACAAAAAGAATTGCCTCTGCCACTCTTAGGTGTCTGGTAGCAGAATAGGTGATAAACATATGTTTGTTCAAAATGAGAAGGAAGAGGAGGGAAAGAGGGATGGTAGGAGGAAAGTGATCAGGCAAGTTAGCTCTCTACGACCACTTCATGGAAGTGGGAGTTAACTCAGATTAAGCAAAGAAATTTGAATCAGATATTCCTTAGTTAAAGGACTTGCAATATGTTTTCATTTCTAAAAAGTGTCCTTTGGTCCACAGGGTTATTGTAAGGAAGAGCAAACATGCTCTTCTTCATACACAATCTGAATTAATGAGACATCCAATCACATGCTCCCAACTTTGTGTGTGAGCAGACACCAAGATCTTCAGAACAGCCCTCAGAGCACATGCTTTAAGGTCTAGGTAAGAAATGTGTGTTCATTCTTGTGTACTTTTCAACATCCCCTACAAGTTATTTCAAAAATGTATGGAAATAGCCAACTAGAAGCTAGTATCATTTTCATGCCTAAAGGTAGCAAGTGTATTATCATACTAGCAGATCTCTTCCTGCAATAACAGTTCTTTTGTAAACCAAGTCAAAAAGACACACTTCCATAAGCCCTCCATGGTGGAAGTAGTAGAGCTGTTTCTTTAACTGTCACTGAGAAGGGACTTCAGGATCTGAGAGTCACAGTCAGGAGACAATGAATAATATGGAACGTGAGTATGTATATATGGGAATTGTACCCATTTCTTAATGGGGTGGAGTCCTAGACAGGTCACATGTGCACAGAAGGAGCCCAGGCTCTTGCACCTGTCATGTGGAGAAGGGGAATGTGATGAACACAGCACAGATGCAGCCAGCCTCTGCAGACCCCAATGTTCCTGCTCTATTCTCAGAAGCTTAGGCAGCAGAGCTAGATATGGATGACCAGCTTACATGCAAGAAGCACACCCAGAAGTATAATGTCAGAGCTCTCAGATCTCATTTAATAAACATTTCTGTAAACCCAAAAGCATTGTTTTTGTTGCATCTTAGAGGTGAATGGGAAAATGGGAGCTCCAGGTGATAAGCTCTGCCTGTGACTCTGAGATATCTAGGCTTCCTTGTGCCTGTCATCAGTTAAGGGAGAGTCTGATGCAGCATTAGTGGTCCAAACGATTATGATCTTACCAAGATTAGCAAAGTACAGTTTTCAAACACTCATTGCTGTAAAAAGAGAAAAAGGCTGAGGTGAGATCATTAAATAGACCAAAGCCCTCACCTCTGTCAGTGGACCAAGCAAGAAATTTCCACCTCCTCATAAGCAGATGTATACCATATGTCACCAGTTGATTCTCAGCCCAAGACAACCATCCTTATTCACTTCTATCCTTGCACAGAACCTCATTTTTGCTGAGAACAAAATAGAAGCGCTGACCCCAGTGTGTCCCACATCCCTTTCTCAGAAGAAAGCAGATCAGACATTTTGTAGATGTGAAACAGTATCAGGAAGTAGAAAGAACTCATTAATTCTTCCACTAACATGCTGATTGACCCTGGCCAAACCCCTTTATCTCTATGGTATCAATTTTCCCTATTAAGTGGAAATAGCAGAATTTCTCCCAGGGTTGGTGGTATGACCAGTTAACCGAGGAAGACAGGGAAATGCTCTTCAGATCACAAATCACCCAAGTCAGTGTTAAGTGTACTTTTCTTTTACTGTGGGATCCTCACAGTGAGAAAGCCCTAGCATAAGAAAGCACCGAGGTAAACACCACCAAGACTTTTCTCTGCTTCAAGGCCACTGCAGATGCAAAAGCTTCTTTCTCCAATCCAGATTCCAATGCTTGAACCTGGAGATGATGCAGCCAGCAACCCTCCAGCTTAGAGAGCCATGGTGAACCCCCAATCCTGAAGAGCCATGCCCTGGGGACCACCCAGTATAAGCACTCTTTCCCATCAGTCCTAAGAGATTTTTTTTAGTTTTTTAAATATTTTTATTGAGATATATGAGATATAACATACATACCATAAAATTCACCAATTCAATTTTTTTTAGTACATTCATTGTCAAATACATCACAATTCAAGTTCACATTTCATCATGGCTCCCAAAAAACATTAATGGTCACTTTTCACCCTACTCTAAACACAACCTAAGCAACCACTAACCTACTTCATGTTTTTACAGATTTCCCTTCTGGACATTTCCTATACATTGAATCAGATAAGACATGGTCTTTTGTGACTTGCTTTGTTCACTTATCATAATGCTTTCAAGGTTCATTCATGTTTCAACATGTATCTTTATTTTATTCTTTTTTGTGGCTGAAAAATATTCCATTATACAGATATACTATGTTGTTTTATCTTTTCATCTGTTGATAGATATTTGGGCAGTTTCTACTTTGTGCCTATTATAAATATTGTTGCCAAGAACATTTATGTACAAGTGTTTGAATGGGCATATATCCTCATTTCTGTTAAATATATACCTAGAGGTGGAATTGCAGAGTTAAATGATAACTCAATATTTAACCTCTTAATGAAGTGTTAAACTTCCAAAAGGGGCTGCACCATTTTACATTCCCACCAACAATGTAGGAGTGTTCTTTCCACATCCTTTCCAACACTTATTATTGTTTGTCTTTTTTATTATAGTCACCCATTTACTATTTTTATATGTATTTCCGTAGTGACTAATGGTGTTGAGCATCTTTTCATGTAATTAATGACCATTTGTTTGTATATCTTCTTTAGAAATGTCTATTTAAATGCTTTGCTTGCTTTTTAATTAGGTTTTTTTGGTCTCTCTCTCTCTCTTTTTTTTTTTACTTGTAGGAGTTCTTTATATATTCCACATACCAGACCCTATTCAGATATACAATTTGCAAATATTTTATCTTGGGTTGCCTTTTCACTTTCTTAATAGTGTCTTTTGAAGTACAAAAGATTTTATTTTGCGAAATCCAATTTATCTATTTTTTCTTTTGTTCCTTTTTCTTTTGTGGTCAAGTCTAATAAGTCATTACTTTTAACTGAAGCTCATGAAGATTTAGTTTTATATTTTTTTCTAAGAGTTTTAAAATAAATGTTAGCTTCTAAATTGAGAAACATGATCAATGTTGAGGTAATTCTTGTGCATGGTGTGAGGTAGAGTCTAACAATTCTTTTACATGAGATCTTGTTGTTCTAGCACCATTTATTGCATTGAATTGTCTTGGCACCTTTGTCAAAAACTCACAGATCATAAATTTCCATTTTCAACTCTATGCCATTGATCTGTATATCTGTCCTTATGACATTACAACACTGGTTTGATTACTGTAGTTTTGCAGTGAAGTACATATTGAAGTGAGGATGTGTAAACCTCTAACTTTGTTCCTTTTTTTTTTCAAGATTATTTTGCCCTCTGAGATCCCTCTTACTTCTCTATGAATTTTAGTATAAACTTGTCAAAATCTATGAAAACACAATTGATCTTGGATTTTGATAGAAATTTCACTGACTTTCTATATCATGTTTGGGAGTATTCCTATCTTAACATGATTAAATCTTTCAACCCATAATATAGGGTGCCTTTCCATTTATTTAGGTCTTTTATTTCTTTCAATAATATTTTGTAGTGTCCTTTATGCAAATCTTACACTTATTTTGTTAAAATTAATTCTAAGTATTTTATTTTTCATGCTTTTGTAAAAAGAACAGTTTTCATTTTTCCAACTTTATTGAGGTATAATTGACAAACAAGTTATATCTATTTAAATGTTCAATGTGATGATTTGATATACATATACCTTGTAAAATGATTTTAATGGTCAAGTTAATGAACATACCTACCACCTTACATAGTTAGCTTTCTCTCAAACTTTATTTTCAGATGTTAGTATGAAGAAATGCAATTGTTTTTTTTGTGTGTGTGTGTATTGATCTTCTAGCTTACAAACTTGTTGAACTTTTTAAAAAAATTCAATTATATAATTCAGTGTTATCATCTCTAGTCACCATGTTTTACATTAGATCCTCAGACTTTTTTCATCTTAGAGCTTAAAGTTTGTGCCCTTATCAATTTCCTTTTATTTTCCCCACCATACAGCCCTTGGCAACCACTTTTATGTTCTACATTTCTGAGTTTCATTTTGGAGGGGTGAAGATTTCACATTATGTACTTTATTTTCTTGTTGCTATAGCAAATGGGATTTTTTTTCCTGGTTTCTGTTTCTGATATTTTCATTGTTGGTGTATAAAAATGCCTTTGATTTCTGAATATTGACTTTTTATCCTGCTGTTTTGCCAAATTCACTTATTAGGTCGAGTTGTTTTTTGTTTTGTTTTGTTTTTTTTAGGAATCTATAGGATTTTCTATGTACATTATCATGTCATCTGCAAGCAATGACAATTTTGCTTCCTCCTTTCCAATTTGGATGACTTTTATTTCTTTTTCTTGTCTGATTTCTTGGCTAGGACTTCCAATACTATGTTGAATAAGAGTGGTCTAAGCGGGCATCCTTGTCTTGTTCCTGATCTTAGAGAGAAAGCTGTTAGTTTTTGCCCATTGAGTATGATGTTGGCTGTAGGTCTCTCATATATGGCCTTTATTATGTTGAGGAATTCTCCTTCTATTCCCACTTTGCTGAGTGTTTTTATCATAAATGGATGCAGTACCTTAACAAATGCTTTTTCCACATCTAAAAATCATGTGATTTTTTTCTTTGCTTTTGTTTATGTGATGTATTACATTTATTGATTTGCAAATATTGTATCATCCTTGCATCCCTGGGATGAATCCCACTTGATCATGGTGTATGATCTTTTTAATGTATTGCTAGATGCAGTTTGCCAATACTTTGTTGATTATTTTAGCATCCATGTTCATTAGTAATATTAGCTTGTAGTTTTCTTTCTTTGTTATGTATTTATCTGGTTTTGGAATTAGGATGATGCTGGCTTTATATAAAGTGTTTAAAAAATATTTCACATTATGCAATACCATGCAGTATTTGTCTTGCTTTGTCTGAGTTATTAACTTAGCACAATGTAAAAAACCTTAGCATAATGTGAAACAACATGGTCCATCTATGTTGTCTCAAGTGGCAGGATTTTCTTCTTTATCATGTTTGAATAATATTCTATTGTATGTATACATATCCCATCTTCTTTATCCATTTATCAGTTGACTGATACTTAGGTTGATTCCCTATCTTGGCTATCATAAATAATGCTGCAATGGATGGTAATGCAGATATATCTTTGATACTCTGTTTTCATTTCCTTTGGATATCAAGCCAGGAGTGTATTTGCTGGATCACATGATATTTCTATTTTTAATTTTTTAATAATCCTTGTTTTCTATAGTGGCTGCATCAATTTGCATTCCCACCAACGGTGCACAAGGCTTCTCTTTTCTCTACATTGTATTTTTGATGATAGCCATTCTAACAGTTGTCAGGTGATTTCTCATTGTGGTTAGTTTTGATTTGTGTTTCAATGATGATTAGTGATGCTGAGCATATTTTCATGTACCATTTGGCCACTTGTATGTTTTCTTTGGAAAAAAATATCTGTTCATTTCTTCTACCCATTTTTTAATCAGATTGTTTGGTGTTTTTTTTCTATTGAGTTGTGGGAGTTCTTTATATGTTTTGAATACTAACCCCTTATCAGACATGATTTACAAATATTTTCTTGCGTTTTGTAAGTTGCTTTTTTAAATTTTGTTGATTGTTTCCTTTCCTGTGCAGAGCCTTTTACTCTGATTTAATCTCATGTGTTTATTTTTCCTTTTTTTTTTGCCTTTCTTTTTGGTGTTAAATCCAAAAAACTATCACTAAGGCTGATATTAAAGAATTTACCTGCTATGTTTTCTTCTAGGGCTTTTATGCTTTTTAGGTCTGTATTCAAGTCTCTAACCCATTTTGAGTTGACATTTTGAGTATGGCATAAGTTAGGGGTCCAGTTTCATTTTTGCATGTGGCTGTGCAGTCTTCCCCACACCATTTATTGAAGAGACTAATATTTCCCCACTGTATATTC